ATTTGCACCAAAAATAAAAGCAAAGGGACCCTCTGTCACCCAGTGACATATTTATGTTACTCATTCATGACAGGGACAAAATATAATGATAGAGAAACAGCATAATATGGCCAAAGTATAACAATTACTACTCATGTTACTACAGCACCTAGGAGGCCCCATCATCCATCAGAAGCCACTGTACTAAGCAGTATACGAACACAGGGGGGAAAAAAAAAGATAGCCTCTGCCTCTAGAAACAAAAGTCATCAGAGGTGCGCACAACATAATACCACAAAATCTCAGTCAGTCTTGGCAAGACAGCAATATCATCACTGTGAGTTTTTCTGCTGCCATCAAGACAAAGGACACTGCTGAAGAGTCAAAGGAAAGTAGGAGATTACTGGAGCAGGCTGCGTGGAATTTTTTCAGTACAGAGCTTTCTACTTGCTACAGCTGAGTCTGCCAAGCGTACTGCTTGTGGCAGACATAAGCTTCCCATTGAAAGCTGATCTGCATGATCCCACCTAATGCAGGTTTTACAGTATGACATCTGTAAGTTACTCCTATGCTAATAGTAATTTTCACTTAGTTTCTAACTTTCTTTGTGTCTTCAGCTCATTACTTCAGTACTTGTATGAATTCAGTAAGTCCATGAATTTTACTGGGAATTTCCAGTGTTTAGTGGCAATTGTCTCCTTTAGCAAACCACATGTGTAAGTTCAGACCTTCCTGAAGTTTCTTGAATGCCTGCTGCATGTGATTTTGGAATTCTATACAGCAACTCTAGCTTTTCCATATGGTATTGTCTTACGAAGCATCTAGACTCAACATTTAGTTAGGAGGGAAGAGAAAAATAAGCAGAAAGAGGAATAATCGAATAATCAAATAATCTAATTTCTTTCCATGAAGAGTTTTGAGTCAAATGTTGAATTTCTACTAAGCATGTACCTGAATCTCATCTTCTCCAGTAGCACTGAATGACAGAAACTGGAAAGCTTCTACTTATTTCCTTCACTGGCCATAATTAAAATCCTTTCCTTTGTAGAATTTATGCCAATTCTAAAAAAACCCAAAATACAAACAACAGATGTTGCAACACAGTTTCTAGGCTGAAACTCAAGAATTGCTTTTTAAAATTAGATCTTCATGTAACAGAACTGCTATAAAAATATAAACCTTCTGTGCATGATGTTTGTTTTTTTGATTTCTCCCTCCTTCCTGCTATGGGAATGTGTTCAATCTCGTGTTTTGCACTCACAATACATTTGTTTAGTCTGCCACTTTTTTTATCTTTCTCCCTAACGTCTATTCAGTGTTCACACAAGACCGAGTCCAAATAAATCCTCACACTACCTTTAAGTTTTGTTTGCTACCAAGTCACAAATACTAAATAGTTTCTCTACTAAATAGATAAATACCCTTCCCATGTCAGATCCATATACTGTGTGTGATATGAGATATAAAGATTTGGTGTGTGAAAAATACATAGAATTATGCCCATTTAGCAAACCTGAGCCATTCTGCCTCCCCTCCATAGAGAAACTTGAGGAGAATGGAAAATTCTCGAGGGAGTCCACCATAGTACATGGGGTTTGCTCATCTGACAAACTTTCAGAGAGAAAATATTTTGTGAATGTGTGGAAGTCTGTGATTGATAAGAAGGACACTGCTATAGAAAGTCAGAAACTGTCTGCTTAGCTCCTGTAAGAAAGGTACTTGTATACCTGGTGTCCTGAACTGCCTTCTCAGCTAGAGAGAGGAACTTGGAAGAAATAGTGAGTCACATCACCAGCTTTTGATGTGAAAACCCTGCCAGCAAGTTCCACAGTGAGTGTTTGTGGAACATTGCTGTTCTCCCTCCACCTGGACTCCGTGAAGTCCTCTCACCACAGAGCATTTGGAGTTCCAGCACTCCTTCCACTGCTGTGCACAGCACACCTCTGCTTGAAGTACTATGGTAGTGGTGAGATCTTGAACATGCTAAGGCCAGTCAGAGCATCTCAATGGATTTTGCAAAGCTAGAACAAACCCCAGTCTGCACTGTTAACAAGCCAAGATAAAAATCTGAAAAGATACCGAGATGAAAAAGAAAACTTTATCATACTGAAATATAAAGAGCCAGAGGTTGTGATTTGTTCAGTAGTTAAGCAATGCTAAATAAGTCTAGCTCACCAACCAAGCCTGCTTTATAACTACAAATCTAAAGTATACTCTTCAGTGCAAAAGTCTGTCCGATAGTGTAACACAGGTAGTAACTAGTTTTCATTCATTCTCAGTGAGGTCTGTTAAAAGTACCAGATTGTAAATGGCTCTTTTGCTTATTTTTTTAGTCACAGAAAGACACCTCTGTTTGAAGCTTAAATTAAGTATATTTGCTAGTGATTCTTTAGTGTGGTTGTACATTCTTTGTTGTAATGTTTCCTTTTAAGTTTACGTATCTTTCCTTTCTGTTGCATCAAGACTTACCTACTGTCATATTTATAACAACTTTATTTTTATATCCCTAAATGCTTTCTGTATTGCTTTTGATGATAGCTACAACTCCATTTTGGGGAGTCTTAACTGTTTCCAAAAAACACTGACTCACAATTTTTATTATGAAATAAAAAGGTGCTTCTTTCTATATTCAGACCTCCTAGGTCCTAAGAAAGCATATAGCAGGTTATTATTATTTACCATTTCAGTAAAGGTAAGTTACACTATGTAATACTGGAAAGGAAAGAACAATAGCTTCTGTAAAGCCATTAGCCGAATAGCAGTTAACTTTACATTCTGGCATCCATCGTGTCTGACTTCCCTTTTTCAGTACACTTATGGAGAGGAGAGCTCCATTGTCACCTGGTAAATTCATGAATGAAACCCACTGAGCATATGTTTACATGAATGCAATTAGTTTTGGCAAAAGAAACTTTTAAAAGTGAAAGAAGCTTTATCAGCAATGAAAACATTTAACTGACCATTAGTACCTCAGACCTTACACTTTCCAAATTACAAAGCATCATGAAACAAATTTTCTTTAAATATGCATTTATGAAGTAGGAAGGCATAGAAAGACTTGACCTTCATAAAGGACATGTAAACATGATTTAATATTGACATAGCCTCAGTAGAATCTGTAAGTTGAACAAGCAATACTACAATGCATCCTATACATTATTCCACTGACACTCTAAAGCAAGGATAGCTTATAATTAATACTTGAAACAGGGTAACATACTTCAACAAAAGAAATAAAAAAAAAATCAGAAAAAAAAAGAACAGAAAAACTCATGAGGGATTTCTGATGCATCAGAAAGATCTCATCAGCTGTCATGAGGAAATACTATGTAACTCCATTTGGCATAGAAGAAGGGGAATCCATCCAGTGACTACTCACCCACAGCTAAGGCAAAATCAGCTATTGCTGGATCTAAACTGGTGAAAAATATTCTCCAGGTACCTGGACCGAAGATAAATTATAACCCTCAAAGTTG